GCGGTAATGAGCGCTATACATTACGCTCAGCACGCGGCTGCCTCGCGGCTGCCACACGCGGCCCGGCCCGGTATGAGAAATGGGGCGGCGCGGCGCGCTGCTCGACGGGGACCTCCTCGTCCTCCTCCTCCTCCTCTCTGCGCCAGCCGCAGCCAGGCCGCGCTCCCGCGACGACAGAACCGCACCGGGTCAGTGTAATAAATGAATTCGAGGAGATGCACACACGCACATACTCACACACACGCGCACACTCACACACACGCACACACACACACACACACACACACACTCGTAGTCTCCGCCGTCAACCGCAAGCGCCCCTTGTTGTAACACTCTTCGCGCCCATTCAACCGCGCCGGGAGAGTAGTATCCCTCCTCTTCATTCATTCGAAAACGCCGCCGCCCGCCAAGTATGGGATGCGGAGCTCGGAGACTGTGTGGCTGCAGCGGTGACGGCGAAAGGGACGCCGCGGCGACGCTCGCGCGAAAGCGTTTAGTTTGTTGTTGCGACATCGCGGCGGCCTGATCGCGGCAGTGTTCAGCAGCCTCACTGCTCGGGGAGGTGCTGCCTCCGTCGTCAGCCGTGTCGACCTGGAGGTGCGCGTCGCCAGGAAGGCCCCAAGGAGAACTTAACTCAAAACAAAACAAAAAAATAAATGAAAAAATATCAAATAATCAGAAAAAGTGTATGCTTGAATTTAAAGTGAAGTACCCCTTGGTTCAAGCAAGCGGCCAGCTGTAGGTCACATACAGCTAGGGAGGGGGAGGGAGGACGCTGACGCTCTCCTGAGAGCGAACGGGTCCTGGACCCGGACCTGGACCAGGGCAGTGCGGGGCCCGCGCGGGGTCGCCTCCGGCCCCCCGGGGCCAGCGCAGCAGCGCCCGCGCCGTCTCCTCCTCCGCAGATCATCTCACCGGCGCATCTCTCACCGGAAGCGAGGCCGCCCCGGGGGACCACCGCGCCGACACGCCCCCGCAGCCCCAGTGCCCGGGCCCTCGGACTCCGAGCGCGCCGCCGGCGGACTGGCACTGGGGGACGTCCACGCGAGTGTGACGTCGACGCCGGCGTGCGGGTGACAGTCAGGGACTCTGCGGACACAACGACGTGGTCTGTCGGGTCAGGGGCAGGTCCTGAACGCCGCACGGTAAAAATAGTTTCTTGTATTACATGACCTGGTCTTGGATGCCATTGGCGTTCTCTATAAGATCCAAAACCAGGTCTTGTAATAGGTATAAGAGACGATTTTCACCGTGCGAGGACGTTGATGACCGCCCAAGCGTCCTGGAGGCCGCCGTCTAGGAGTACACGCTAGCGCCGCCTCGCCGTCGTAGGGAGGCATCAGGAAGTTCGTTATCCGTGGCCTTTTGAAACGTTCGGGGAGCTGTACGATTAGGTTTTGAGTCGACGGGGCCGCGGGTCGTGGCTCGCCTCGACACCCGACATAGGGCCTCGGGGGCCAGTAACAGGTGGTGCGGCGCCGGCCCGGCTCTGGGTCCCCGTCCCCTCCTGGTCCCCTCCGCCACGCTGAGCCACGCCCGCGGCCCGCAGCTGATGGTACTGCCGATTGTTATGGTAATGGCGATAAAAAGCTGATAGGCATCGTGGCCCGGTTGACCGGCCACGAGCGCGGCGCGGCGTGGCGGCGCATCGCGGCGAGCAGCGAGTCATCCGGGAGGAGGCCGCCCCCTCCCCGCCCCCAGCAGCAGCCCCTCCTGCCCGTGCTGCCCTGCTGTCCCTCCTGGCCGTGCTGTCCCTCCTGGCCCTGGTGCCCCTCCTGGCCGTGCTGGCCGTGCTGCCTGTGCTGTCCTCCTGGCCCTGCTGCCCGTGCTGTCCCTCCTGGTCCTGCTGCCCCTGCTGCTCCTCTTGCCCGTGCTGTTCCTGCTGTCCCTCCTTACCCTGCTGCCCCTGCTGCTCTTGCTCCCCTTGCTGCCCCCTTGTCCCTACTGCCCCTGCTTCATGCTCCTTCTCACACGGACACAATTACCACGCTCCTTACTAATCGTTTGGCATCACACACTCATGCACATACCCACCTGCCAATTATTTGGTCAGCAAAGCAAAGTCTCGAACGGCGATAGGTACGGGCGCATAGAGCGAGCATGCTACTCGCTTGCCCTCTCGAACAAGCACCTCTGGCGACTTGCCTGCTGCGCCCGGTGTGGATGATGGCGTCGACTAGGAAGGTCTCGGTGGACGTCGTCGCGGGCCTCCAGCCTGCCCTCGCGGCCGCCGTGGGCTGCCCCTCGCCGCCACCCGCACCCCGTCCGGCTCCTGTCAACACGAACCATTTCACGCCGCCGAATGAGTTATAGAAAACGCCGTAATTTATGGGTTGTTCCTTGCTAGTTATTGCGCTTGTTTGCATCGATAACGTTTCGCGCCGTTGTCTCTGCGTCCTCGTTCGTTTTCTTTCCTTTTCGTCCTCCTCCTCCTCCTCTTTCTCGTCGTCGTCCTCCCCCTCCGCCCCCGCCCGCCC